TAAATAGATCAATCAAATGAGCCTTTAAATAAATTCACAAGAAAATATTTTTTTAATTTAAAGGTATATTTTAATTTCAACTTTGTCCATTATTATTTTAATCCTAAAGAGGAAAATAAATATAGGTGATCGACCGTTACTCATTGATGATCTTAACTCTTAACCATAGTAATTGATGGGGGTCCAAATTCATTCAAATATATAACTTGCGCAATAAATCACCATTAGTTTAGTTTATTAATTGCCATCAATGGTACGTCATTTTTCATCAGTTCCTTATAACATTTTTCTTTCTAATTTATCAAAATACATCAATTTATTAAGATTCTAAACTTTCTAAATAGATCCATGCATAGTTTAATTATACATAAAAAAAACATTTTATCGTATTAATCTCCAAGTAAAGTTTTCATAATTAATCAATAATCTCCTTGCTAATCCAAGCTCTAATGACCAATCAATCCTATAGGTAGATAAATCCACCATAGTGGACGGAGCAGTGAGCTACATAAAAGCGCTTGAACAAACGCTACAAAATCTCCAGAAGCAGAAGCTTCGTCAGCTAATGGTGGATCTCTCGCCGACAGCAACGGCTACGTTGGAAAGCAAAGTGGCTTTCATGGCTGATGATCAGGGCAAGAACAGCAGCAGCGGGAATGCGACGGCGACCGCTGCTGTGGTTCCTCGCCTTCCAGTCTGCTTCCAGACCTGGATTTCTCCTAATGTGGTGCTCAATGCGGCCGGTGAAGAAGCTTTTATTAGTATCTGTTGTGTGAAGAAGGCAGGGTTCCTCTCTGCAATGCTCTTCCTGCTTGATAAGTATAAAGTGGAGGTGGTTTCAGCTCATTTTTCCTCTGATAATTATTCCAGAAGCATGTGCATGATACATGCCCGTGTAAGAACGACCCTGCATTACTAAAAAATCTGTAGCTTTTTTGAAGTGAATTGACGATTTGTTTGTAATTTTGTATTGTATAGGTTATAGGAGTATCGGATCATTTTCCTGAGGCATTGATGATTGAAGAGACATACAAATCAGTTGTTGGAGAGATGATTGCTTGGCTTTATTCATGAACTTCAGGGATGACTACTAGCTAGATGTTATTTTATGTTCATATTTGTTGTATTTTGGTTCATTTTTAGTTATTATGTTTCTTCGATCTATTTTACCTGTTTGATAGTGTTATAAATAGGTGTGAATTTTTTGTAAAGTTTTTAGTATGATGGAATAAAGTTAGATTTTTCTCTAAAGTCAACCGCTCTCCCTCTCTCTCTCTCTCTCTCTCATTTTTTCTCTAAGAATTCTACAAAAAAACCCAATAAATTGGTATCAGAGCCTGCCCCTCACCTTTGTAAAATTGGATCAATGGTGGAGATTATTATATTGTGGTCCATTTTTTATTATTCTATCTTACTTGTTTGGTAGTATTATAAATGGTGGTTTGGATTTTCTATAAAATTTTGGGGAGACTTAAAAAAAAGTTTTAATTTGATTTTTCTAAAAAATCAATCCCTCTCCCTCCCTCTCCCAATTCTCTCCAACAATCCTCCAAGAAAACCCAACAATATTCATACAAACGAACACACTTTTTGCTTTGAAAAATCCACAGTTTGATTGGTTATGGACCTATCAGTAAGAAAATTAAAAAAAAAGATAATAAACATATCATTTTAGTGCGAAAAATAGATTTGCGGGTCAACCAAACTTAACTTGTTCATTAAACGGGTCAATTAGAGTCAAAATATTTTTGATTGGGTACAAATCAGATTGACAAATTGGATCATTTATCGACACTCTTAGCCGCGAACTTTTATTACATCCAGTGAACACACGCTTCTCTAAGTTCGGTATTAGACCAAAACAGCGCAATACCAAATTTTTTTTAAAAAACTCGGTACAACTCGGTACTCGGTATTGCGCTTTTTTTACCTTAATCCGAACGTAGAGGAGCGTACGTTCACTGGATAAAATAAAAAACAAATGAGCGAATGCTTACGTGATATTAGCTATTTAAACAAAAAAAATCTCGTAAATTAAATACAATCAATAACAGGTTATTTATAAAATTTAAGTTGCAACTTGAAAGCAACAGAACTTCAAATTTTATCAGGATCCAAATTAAAATGCAGAAGAAGTAGATCCGCCCAATTGGGTTCAAGACTTACAAAGCTGCAGGAACAAAACCGCCAATACTCCTGCTTTGATCACCACTGACCATGGAATACCGTAACTTCCCTTTCCAAATAGTCCCCTCACAAACGGCCAGAAGGTGATCAAAACCCACCCACTACACACCATCTCCGCCACCCCCGGACCATTCGTCTCCGGCCCGACCGCTCCACCCGCCCAGCTGACCAACGCCACCCCTATCGCAGTAATCTGCACGAGCACTAGCATCGTCCCGGTGATAAACATGGGTGACCCGTCGAAGGTGAACCGGCCCGGCTCGGCATGGGCGGGCACGTCTACCTGGTCCTTTCTGGTGACCTCGAAGACTGTCTCGGAGATGCCGAGGAGTTTGAAGACGACGGAGAGGAAGCCGAGGAGGAAGGCAGTTATGGCGGTTATGCGTTGCATGCGTTGGTTGTTCCACCATTCACGCCAAGACTTGCCGCAGTGCTTGTATTCTTCAAGGCTGTATAGATTGTAGCCGGCGAACAACATTGCCGCCAGCAGAAACTGTCCCTCCGATACCTGCAAATAGCAAAAAGATCTGACCTTTGGGCTCTTATATTTGATGCCGGACATTCAATATGTTTATTATGTGCGGAGATCAGACACAAAATATTATCC